TTATTATTAATTAGTATTCAAACTAACTTTGTTGAAAAAAATACTTGTTACATTGTGTTCTTATCATTTCTTTCTCTTCTGGAGAATGATTATTACGTCGCCTTCTCTTTGCTGTTACATTGAATGTATTTGATGTACTTGTTATTGTAGACTTCAATATGTCATGAGGAGCTTCATATTATCTGCGGAATTACATGGAAATCCGTAGTTTGGCTCGAAAATTAGACTATTTTGTTCATGGGATCAAACATAAAACACAGATCCTCTACGGGTTTCTTCTATGATTGAGTAGTTCTCTGCCACAGATAATTGAACAACAAATGTTTATACACATGAACAAGACTTACTAATTTCGTATAAATAGGCAATATTTCAAGTTTCAACTATTTCTACATGAATTAGCTTGTGCAATACGTGCATAATCAATGACAAGAAAAGTCACCTGAGCTTGTACTGAACGGGTTTGTTGTCTTCGATCATACAAAGGAATATTCCAACGCTCAGACGAGTGCCATGTGTCCTACCCCATTAATGTCAAGAAATTTTAATTGGAAAGTGGTTTGCTTTAAATAGTGGCTGTATTTGGAATTCTCAGTCAGTCAATCGTGATTATTCGCTAGAGTTGCACTTTAAGAATAAGTTAAATCCATTTGTTGTACAAACTGGTGTCCAATTTGTTACGTTGTTATTGAGTGCGTTGAAAGCTCATACAATCGCAGAATAAAGAAGAGTGTCGAAGTTTTAACGAATTACTTTCTGAGAGCAAGCCGAAAAGAAGACAACAAAATGGTGTCTGGGCAAAAAATCATGGGCATTCTATTGGTCATTACACTGATGAACACTTTCGAGAGTGCCCTGTGCGATGCTGTTGAGATCCAAGAAACATGTAATTATATATAAATAGAACACATTTTGTCCATGTTTTATAAATAACAACGTTTGTTTGGATTCTAGGGAGACTTCCACAAAAACCACCATTTGTCGTTCATCAGAGAGTGGCAGAATGTCCACCATGTAAGAAATTTCGTAATGGAAGGTGTGTTAATGTTTGTTGATTAAAATCAAATTCGGCCCAATACATTTTCTACAGAACGCAAAACACTTTTTTCGTTATAAAAAAGAGAAATAGAATTGAGTAGTATGATATGCAATTTAGTCGAAATTTCAGTAGCTTTTGATTGTTAAATTAAAATAAAAAATAACGTTGCAGATCAAAAAGGTTGTTTTTTTCCAAGCCATTGAATTCATGTTCCTGGTTTCAATGGAAAAAAAATTGAATGTCCGAGAATGAAAACGCAACTTCTGATGTTACACTTTAAAAAAATCTTTTTTGTTGTTACACTTTGAAAAAATTCGATTGTGTTGTTTCATTTCAATAAATTTTTTTATTTTTGTTTCACTTATATGAATGGGCAAGCGGAATAATGAAACGTAATTCTGTTTTTAAATGAAGTGCCTCTGAGAAAAATTTTCAGTAAAAAAGCCCCACAAAAATATTGTCTGAATAAGATTTTCATACAAATTTTTATCAGACAATATTTTTGTGGGGCTTTTTTACTGAAAAATTTTCTCAGAGGCACTTCATTTGAAAACAGAATTACGTTTCATTATTCCGCTTGCCCATTCATATGTGTTGTGAATAGAAGTTGCGTTTTCATTCTCGGACATTCAATTATTGGTTTTGTTTATTTGATTGTGTTTCATTTTTGCTTCTTTGTCTAGTGCTTTTTGCATCGTTTAAATCATCACATGAAAAAACTGTATCATATCAACCAACTTGTTTTCTTTCAGCACGAAAATTGATTTTGATAAAATCTATTTTGGGTTTTTATCATTCGCTCCTGGGTCAACCTATAGTGTCAAAATTGGACAATTTTTTCATACATGAGTATCCATGAAACTAGTTGACAATTCTCAGATATAATCGAATGGACGAAAAATCAAAAGGTGTTTTGAGTTCGCCCACAACCGACTGATTTGATTTATTCCACAATAATGAAGAACAGATGGTTCATCATGTCTACGATTTCAGCTCGAACCAATTACTTTGTCATCGCGGTATTCTAACGAACTGTCATCTCATGCGAGTAGCAACATGTAGCTAAAATGACAAATCGATGAATATTCGACTCAAGTCGAAAATTATTTCTGAATAGCCTAATGATATTCGCCACAGCGTTCGGACACAAGGATACCTGTGCACAAAATAAGTGCCAGGCTGGCTGAAGCTAAGACCGACTAATGAGCGATTGTAGTTAATTAAGCGGAAGTTTTGTATGGAATTAGTTGACTACGATGAAATTTTATTTGGTTTATTTTTATACTGGATAATCATCTTTGGCTAGTAAACTATATATCAAAATAATTCACTGCAGTGTTGCCATGGCTACTTAGTCAAAATATTCACACATGGGTATGCAATTGTACTACAATCGATGACTTGATTGGATTGTTTTTTTTTTGCTTTTGATTTTGTCGTTATCAAGGCTTGTACGGCTTCGAAGCGGTGTTCCGGGGAAATGAGGAACAAGTGTGTTGAAAATATATTTTAATTGAATCAATCGCTGAACTTTTGTGGTTCAATGAATAACAAACACGATTTTTATTATCAATTTTCATTGATTTAATAAACGGCCTCCTCAATCAATTTATACAAGTAACTGATTCATTTTCAAGCCTTGGCTAATCAGTTTGAATTGTATGCTATTGCATGTAAAATTAAATGGACAGGTGATTGCATACATGCGCTTAGTATTTCTGGTCGTATACGTCAATGTTGTCAACATCATACATTGTCATGTTCAACCAATGACAACGTTGGTTAATCTGTTTAGTTCAATCATTTTTTCTGTGTACAAATCTACGTATCCGATCTTTTTCAAGTTTCTACCATTCGTATTTCATTATTTTGGAATATAGCGAACGAGTTTGTTGTGGTCGATTTTACAATAGAACATTTTAACGCTTAGACATAAGCCGTAGTCCATTCAACTTCATGACGAATCGATTTAAGAGGCTTCCCCAAGAAAAAAACTAGCTCTATTCACGCCTGACTCACCAAACACACTGCGCGAATACAATCCAGCCGATCACTATGTCATCACCTGTACTATGGACTGGGGCGATAAAATCCCACTTATTCGCTTTTAACGACGAACCAATGAAATTTGTTTTGAATCTCTTTCGTATAAATACACTGAAATTTGTTCAACTCAATGGAAAAAATCCACTGAAAACAGTGAGGTGAATGGTTTGAAAACAAAAAAAACAACTATTTTGATAAACTTTAACGTTATTTTATTTTCATTTGGTAATTAAAAGCTACGGACATTTCTCACAACAAATTCTTTTCCTCATTTTTCGTTGAAAAAACCATCGATGACTTCCAGTTGAGTGATGAGTTAGGCCAAAATTGGTTTATTTTTATCAACAAACTCTAACACATCTATCTTTGAAAGGCTTGTAACATTCTTTACATTTCTCCATTGCATTAGGATGTGGGACATGTTGAACTGAAATTAATGTTGTATTTTTATCAAATATGGACAAAGAAATGCATTAACTTCGAATATAATTACCATTACCATCTTCTTACTGATCAATAAATTCTTTAAATTTAGCATCACGCAAGGCACACTGATGAATGATCAACAGCGTAACAATCAACAGAATACTCGCGATATTTTTCCGAGATACCATTTCCTTACCTCCTTTTCCACTTAATTTGCTCTGAAGTGATAAGCACTTTGAAACTCTATTTTTTTATATGATTATTTGACCTTTTGATACACTTAACAATAATATAACAAACTGCTGACGCCAGTGTTTGTACAACAGAGAAATTTTTCTTATTTTTAACGTGCAACTCGAGCGAATGATCACGATCGACTAACTGTGATTTCTACACACGACTCTTATTTAAGGCAACATCTTTTCAATGTCTTGATAAATTTCTTTGGATTTTGAAAAGACAAACAGCACATATCTATTAGTGAGACGTAAAAAAACGCAAGTTGGTCCAACTTCGTAGCAATAAAGAGAAGTATGTTTCATTGCAACTAATAATGGTTAAAAGAATGTATGTTCGTTTTTAGCGGGTCTTCGCGGTTTTTCACGGTTTCCGCGGAACTGATAAGAGATAACAACTTGGTGTCTTCGGCAAAGTTGTAGCACTCGAGGTCTTCTATAACATCCCGTGTGCAAATAAAATGACTAACAGTCACTCAGTTGTATGTAACTGTATGTAGTGATTCACAACTAAAACTGGCTAAGTTGACTGAAATCATGCGTTTTGTATGGAGACAATCACGTTTAGTTATTCTTTCAGTCAGTCGACTTATTTGGGACATTTTGACTAAGAGTGATTTGTGATTAAAGTTAACTGCAGTTGCTTATTTTGTTCGAGACAATCACTTTTAGTCAGTCAAAATGTCCCAAATTAATCGACTGAATCAGTCAAAAATTTTCCACACGGGATTGCTGAATTCAGTTATCTCTTATCTCTTATCAGAACCGCGGAGGCTAGACGGGATGCCAACATACTTCCTTTTAACGCAGATAATCAACAGAAAACATACTTTCCTTTTCAAAAATATAAATCGAAAAAAAACATACATTCTTTTACGTCTCCCAAATAGATATCACATGCAAGTAATTATCAATGATCCTGAACATGCATCTATTGGTCTCTGTTTGCGATTGCTCTGTGTAAATATTACTATTGTGAGTCGTGTGTGTCTCAGAATATTCAATTTGCGTTTTATTCATTGAAATTTTTCGAAATTTAATTCGGAAGAACCACTTAAACTCCAAAGAAAATGAAACTCTCTATAAGGTTGAGCATTTTGAATGAAAAATTGTTGAATAGATAAGAAAATATTTCATCAATATTACCATTGCTACTTTGTTCAATTGAGATCTCCTCCCTAATTGGTTTCAATTAAAATTTGTTCCCTTTTGTCAATCAAAATTTCTTCGAAAAATAAAAAATACTCGGAAAATTATTGAATAAACTCTATTCATTATCAACTTTATTCGATAATCCACATAATAACAAAATTTAATTTCAAAACCAGACTTCAAGAGTGTGATTCATTCAGTAGAATTTGCGATCGGCCACATATCGGAATGCTTCATTCCAATCGCCTGAATATTTGATTTCCAGCATTACACTCATGACTTGGTCCAACGTCAATGTTTTATTGATACGACACTTTCGGAATTGTTCCATTGGGATACGTGCCGATCGAATTTCCAATCGTTTTGCTTTCGCCAATGTAAATGGCACTTTGTCACCTCGGTCCACAAGACCACTGATAACATAATGGTCGTCTGGATTGTATTCGCGCAGTATATTTGGTGAGTCGGGCGTGAGTAGGACTAGTTTTTCTTTCGGAAAGGCTTCTTGAATCGGTTCATCATGCAATTGAATGGGCAACGGTTTTTGTCCAAACATTGGATTATTCTTGTTTATAAACGACCACAGCAAACTCGTTCGATCTATGCCACAAAAATGAAGCACAAATGGCTCACGATGGCTACGATTCAAGCCAAAACAATGAACTAATTGCTTTGCCGCCTCATGGTTCTCACGAGGTGTCATCTCTTTTGAGTAGCTACAATCGAATATCATATTTGGATAACCCAATGCTGTTCGCCATAGTGATCTAAAATTGAGATTGAATTAGATTCGATTTGATTGATGAATGCATATTCAATTGTCTATGACATAGACCCTATGTAACTATATTTACCGCGTATTCTTCCATTTGTCGACAGTTCGGCCGTAAATCTTTGGGATTAATGAATTTTTACCAAGGCCATATTGAATATGCTTATTTTCATCAACTGTTTGATCATCGTCTTGCTGGAATTGACTCTTCTCCTTTTGTATTTCACGTCGAATTTGACGCTTCAGCTGTGGAAATTCATTAAAAAAAAATTCAGTCTTTTTTTTTTCATCAAACTTTCAATCTATTCCATCCAATTGAAATGGTTTACGTCACTCAGTTCAACTTTTTTGCATGGATTAATAGAAGAAAAAAATAACCTCGATGGGAATGAACGTTCAGAATAAACTTACAAAGTCCGCTCCATCGGAATGGTGCATTTTGTATAGATATGTGTAATATTTATGGCGCTGATTTTGCGACAAAGTGAGAATCGTTTTGTAATCCGATGTAGTCAAACGTTCCACCTTTGGCACTGGATGATTCTCAACGTTTTGTAATGCCAACTAAGGAAAGGAAGAATCAATAGAATGGTTTTTTTTCATCCAATTAGCGACTAGTTTTTGTGTTGAGCGATTCACCATTTACCTCATTCTGAATGTATCGTACTCGCTTTTGTTGTGCCTCATCCAAAGTTTTTACCCAGCTTTCAACATTTTCGTCCGGCAGCGAGTAACATCGAACTTGGCCAATTTGAAATGGGAATTTTTTCACGACAGTATTTATACATCCAGCGGGTAATCGCGGTTGAAACAATGTCCTTTGCATCATTCGCAACATTTCTGCAAAAATTTCAACACAATTGGTATCACAAATATTAGAAAACTTTTCTTGCTGTGGAATTCGGTTTGTATCAACAAAAAAACGCATGGGAAACGACGGGTCAATGACAGCTGTCACTTTACGTTTGACATTTCTCCACATGACGTTTCATTGTGGACTAGTTGCGTTTATGTGTACACAGTAGATGTTTTTGAATTTTATGCGTTGATTTTCGATGAATAAAATTTTCTTTACTTTGATGAATAACTTTTTAATATCTATTCAATAATAACGAGATTTTTAGAAACTTAACAGTTATTGAATGCAAACACATTTCTCATTCTTTTTTTATTGAAATGACATGCATTAAGAATGTTTAAAAGAAATTACATCAAATTAGCTCAAATTTATTCACAAATTGGACTTTTAAACAGAAAATTTTATTGAAAGTGACGATTTTGTTGTTTTCTTTCAATTTCTGTGTTGATGTTTTTTTCTCATTGTTGTCGAAGATTTGTCTAATTTGAGTGTGGCGAAGTTCAGCGGTGATTTTTCAAGTTCGATGCGTGTTTGCGAGGAATTGACCAATTTTTGAAGTGTCACATAAAAGTGTGCATCATGATGTCTTATGACTGAAGTAGAAAGATATAAGCCACATCTACTTAACTCAAAAGATAATACTCAATTATATTGGAAAATGTAAATTACAGCCCAGAAAATGCATTCAAACTGATTTCCAAGTATCCCACAGAAATAGTTACATGAAAATTTAGAGTAATTCTCAGTTTTTCCCATTTAACTTTCATCCATTGAGTTCCTAAATAGAATCTTCATCCACTTAAAAAGGATTCAATTTAATTATTTTATTAAAATAAATTTGGTTACAAAATTTAATTGGAACAAAATATTTAAATAGTAAACTCAATTATCATTATAATTCTATTTCCTTATCCAATTTTCTTAAATTAAATTCATGACCTATTGAATGTTCGGTTCAATGTTTTCAGTAGAAATTGATGCGGTAATTTGTGTACATGTGAAAATTGTTTGATTTTCTTTTTGATGCGATTATAAGTATTCTCCTCGTATTGACTGTACACCTCGGAAAGTTCCAAATCGTTGTATATCTGCTTGACTTGATCGATGCATTCAGGATCTGAAATCAAACGATTCGGAAATAGACCACATCATGGGAATCTATAATAAATTAGTGTATTCAATTACCGTTTTTGGCATAGCATTTCTTCAAAATGGCCTTTTGTTCATCCGAGGCATGTTCCATTGCTGTAACCGCCAACCATGTGCATTTGCCATCTTCAATGTCTGTTCCGGGTTTCTTCAAAACGCCTGACTCACTAAAACAGTCCAGAAAATCATTTTGCGACTGATAAAAATGGCCCAATTCATAGCATATCGTCTTGATGTCCCCGAAAATTTTTGCATTCTCGTATCTAAAGAACCAAGAATTTAAACATGACTTTGAAAATAGGATTGATTCTCGTTCAAAAAATTTAATGGATCAATTTTTTTTAACTTCGAATAAAAAATCGTTTTTTTTTCTTTTTTGTCAAAACCAATTGTCCCATCATTCCACTTACCCGGCCAACAGCATCGGCAGTGCGATCGGTGTGTAGAATGCAAAATGTGATGTTTTATGATTCGACATGGAGATGTGTTTATCCATTGAAAAGTGTTCGATGCCGTCGTTGGCTATTTGAAAATCGAGCGACTGCCCGACGAATGTGTTCATGGCCGTTTCGTGGAATAATTCAAACATATTGGTATAGCACGACAGGTGGCTGAAGAATCGCTTTAAAATGAAATAGCAGCCGTTTTCTATCATCAGAATATCATTCACAGCAATCGATTGTACGTCATCCAGTTTGTACCAGCACAGCCTATTGCGTCGAATCTGGCTACGGTCGATTATATCATCAGACATCAAAAACACGGACTGAAGCTACCAAAAAAAAAAAAATGTTTGGGTGATTCATGCTTGTTATCATTTTAAGTGGAATAGGTCAAGAGAATGTGATTAGGATTCGCTAATGGACAACTAATTGAACCAGTTAATTTGAAATTAACAATTGAAAGTTTTTCTCAAGTTCAAGGCTACGCGAAAATGGGAAGCGATAAGATTATTGAACGGCACGCTGATTATTGAACTTGAATGAGCTTCATTTGTGGGAGAGATAGGAAAAGAAAGAGAGAGATAGAGAGAAAGAGAGAGAGAGATAGAGAGATGATAACCATAACTCGGTTGAATCATTTACCGATTGTAGAAAAGAACAGGCACAAAATAATTTGTGCTTTCGCCGAATAATTACAAAATTATCAGTTGATGCAATTTTCGGCGTCTTTTGATATCGACAAAACCCAATACTGGCCGATCAATCAATGCAGTATAGCCTCTTAATCTAATCTGTGATGCAATTTTTTTTACAAGACCATTAAGGCGCAGAAGAATCATGGGAATGGCTGAAATTACGTATTAATCAGCAAAAACATAGATATCCTTCACCTTTGTTTCGTTGGACACACGCGTGTGTTCTGAAACATTTTTTTTATTCAACGCAATTGATGAATTCGTCATTTACAGTTCGAATTCTTTTTATTTTGTCACAACTACACCTCAAATTGTGGTTATGCACTAGGCTGGCATCGATTGCATGGCTTTATAGGAGCTTGACTGAATTTTACTTACAAGTTCAACACACCATCCAAGAATGTGGCCATTACGCATATTTTCAGGTGTTAGATGCTCTTTTCCAATCAAATCTTTGTACACAATCACCGCCGTCAGACCGCGAACTTTTTTTCCATGCGGAACGTTGTACTCCAACGCCTTCATTTTCGAAATAAAAGAAACAAATAAAATGAACAATATTAATCTTTGATTCTGAATGATGACCGGTCACATTTTATCCCATACAAATTTGAAGTAGAAACCGGTTCATCAATTTTTAATTTTGCTACTAAATTCATTCTTTTCTTCTTTGAAACATTTCATTTTCAAATTCTTTTATTTCAATTAATTGCACTTTTTCTCCGTTTTCAACCAATTTTCTCTACCGAACGTTGCACTTTCCATACAAAATGCTCAGAAGAAAATCAAACACTTGGTAGAAAAAAATATGGGTTATTGCTTGAAAAATTGTTTTAAGCTTACCTTAGCGAAATGATTCGCAGCATCTCTTAATTCATAATGTTTCGAAGAAAATTCGGTCAAATCACGAATCAAATCTAAAATTGAATAAATTGATTTTTAGAGGGAATTTACTTTAGACACATAGCAATTTGAATAACAAATGATTTTTGGCAGAAAAAAAAACTGTAGAAGTGATGATTAAACTTATTCCTTGAAGGTTGTTACCTGGAAATACGCGCATGAATTGTGCATTTTCTCTACGTAATTCAGTTGTTAAATCGGAAGAAAATGGTGTACTGTAATTGAGGGGCGAACTGTTGAAGTAGAAACAATTATGTTATTCGGTTCTTTAAATTCGATTTTTTACAGAGAGTGTATTTCTGCTACTGAGCAGGCATGAGCTGAGTTCAGCTCTTTTTAACGTGATTTTATTTCATTAAAAATGTAATTACCTGTTATGTTGTTCAAGAGTGTTCAATTGATTGACTCCAGCGGAACTGAATCGAATGGAACTTTTTTCGCGTAAATTTTTTACGCTAACACTGCGAACGGCAGTTAGTTTGACCAATTTACGGAACATTTTATTGTTTTGAATAATACAATACTTGTATAACTTTACCAGAGGATCACTAATTTCACATACGTTTTACTTTGATTGTAAATTAGTTTTTAGGGCACTAAATAATGTACTTGATTGTTCTACTCGATTTGTAATAAACGCGATCTCAATAAGAAATAACATGGGCAATCGAATGTGCAATATTTATGAATCAAAATCCAGATCAGATAAAGTACTTATCGTAATGGCCTGAAGTGCATACCGATCTTCAATATCAATCAAAATTTCGACAATGAGTTGCACATGCACACCGTTTCAATAACAATAACACACAAGGGCAACGCAACTCAACAAAAATTCCATTGTATCACTTCGGCTGGGGTGATTTTGTGCGTGCAGCAATCAATTGAGGCTGTGAGAATGAAAATGGCAATACAGGAAAAAACATTCTGAAACGCATCAAGAAAAAAAAATTCGCAAAAATGAATCATGAGTTCTGAATATGCAAAAGTGAAACATGAATTTACATGGGCAGCATAGGAGGTTCATGGTTCACTTTTGCGTATTCAGAACTCATGATTCACTTTTGCGATTTTTTTTTTCTTGATGCGGTTCAGAATGTTCATACCTGTATTGCCATTTTCATTCTCACAGCCTCAATTGTCGCCAAAAAATTTGTTTATCTGTTATTTGTACGTTCAAAAAAAGGGGTTTGTCCACGCTCAAAATCGATCTTATCATCTAAAATTCTGTAGACAGCGCACCAGATGTTACTTTTTTGAAAACACCCGATGTTTGCTAAGAGTATTAACGGTTTTTACGGAAAAATACGACAGATATCCACCGATTGAAGGCATTGAAGCGGCTTCTTTGATGGTAGACAGTTTAAAACGATCAACGGGTAATGAACATGAAAAATTGTACTAACCACACACCTGGTGAGACACACATATCATGGTCAATGGCTATTGGTCATTCAAGGCATATCTGAGGAAGTTCAACGATAGAGTCCTTGCCACATAATCCTCAGAAATGCGACTAATTTCAATTACTCAAGCAATATTTTCGGTCAATTCGAAGCGCATTTTGGCTCACCATTCGATTTAAACAAAAGAATTAACAAAAAAAAATCACATAAAGTGTTTGAAAATTTATATTATGGAAGCTTACAAGCGCCTACAGTTATACAAAGGCAATACTCCGTATAAGAAACAACAGAAAAATAATTCCAGGCTTGCCATCTAGATTAATTAATCTTGGTTGCGATGTAGTTTGGTCCATGAAAGCGGGAATATGGGCAAAATGTTGATTGAATTAAAGGAATTATGATTATGCTAGCAATAATACCTGTTGCATGTTGTTTAGTTCCAATATTTCGATTCTAAACTTGAGTCAATAGAAACGGAAGAATGTCTGTTTCATTTTGAATTTATTCAGTTTATTTTACACAGATTTTATCATTCAATTTAGCAAATGTTGCTTCATTCATTTTCGCAGAGCTTGTTCTCTTCATAAAAATTTATTCTTATTCTAATTTAATCAAGATACATGCTAAACAATGTTTAATGGAAATTGTTTTCGTGAGTAATTCCATCATTCATTGTGTTTGTTGCTTCGTCCAACCCATTTGCCGTCCTTTTGTCTTATGCCTATGGACTTGGCACGTTTTCGAATGGTCGTTTGATCCACATTCAATGCTTCTGCGAGTTCTTTCTGCGTTAAACTTGGATTATCATTGATTAGCTCTTCAAATTCTTCGTCGGAGAATTTTCTTGGTTGACCCGGCCGTTCTTTGTCGTTCACATCAAAGTCACCCGCTTTGAATCGTTTGTACCATCCTTGACATGTTTTATCGGTCGGAGCATGTTCACCATACGCTTCGACCAGTAAACGATGAGCTTCAGCTGCTTTTTTCTTTAAATTAAAGCAAAACAGCAAGGCTTCCCGCAAATGCTGTTTCGTTGGCACAAATTCGGACATTGTCACGACACAATCAAACTGTGTAATTGAAAACGGTGCGATTGAAATGAGTGAATTGTAAGCAAACTTTGATGAAATGTCATAAACTCAATAACAAGCTAAGGCTAGCGACCGATGGGATATCTGTCAAAATATGCCAGATTCTACTCACGACATCTGTGAATGTATAGTGTTACTGAACCAGTTTCACTGTTGTATATTTTGACAGGAACCCCATAGTCGCACGGTTTAGCTGTGACTCTATGTCATTTGATCGAAGTTTGTTTACAATTTACTCATTTCAATCGCACTGTTTTCAATTAAACAGTTTTATTGTGTCGAGACAATGTCCGAATTTGTGCCAACGAAACAGCATTTGCGGGAAGTCTTGCTGTTTTGCTTTAATTCAAAGAAAAAAGCAGCGGAAGCTCATCGGTTACTAATCGAAGCGTATGGTGAACATGCTCTGTCCGATAGTACTTGCAAAGAATGGTACAAACGATTCAAAGCGGGTGACTTTGATGTGAACGATAAAGAACGGCCGGGTCAACCAAGAAAATTCTCCGACGAAGAATTTGAAGAGCTAATCAATGATAATCCAAGTTTGACGCAGAAAGAACTCGCAGAAGCATTGAATGTGGATCAAACGACCATTCGAAAACGTGCCAAGTCCATAGGCATAAGACAAAAGGACGGCAAATGGGTTGGACGAAACAACAAACACAATGAATGATGGAATTATGGAATTATTCACAAAAACTATTTCCATTCAACATGGTTTAACATGTATCTTGATTAAATTAGAATAAGAATTAATTTTTATGAAGAAAAGAAGCTCTGCGAAAATGAATGAAGCAACATTTGCTGATTTGAATGATAAAATCTGTGTAAAATAAACAAAAACAATCCCAAATGAAAAGTACACCTCTTTCTTTATGTTTTTATTTTTTATTTTTATTCGTTTTTTTGTGTGTGTAGTTGTTGTTGTCTAACTTTCGTTTACAAAACATTTAATACAATTTTATTGGATAAGTAAATGGATATGGGGAGCGCTTAACTTAGAATATCAATTCCATTGTAATGAACATAAATTATGGCCAATCTAGAAAAAAAAGAGTTTGTAATACTCATAAAAACCATTTTTTTTTCTGCCTGATTTTTTCATCACTAAATCAATTCAAATTCGTCATGTGTTTTTTCTTCTTCTTCAATAACATAGAAAGAGTTACAAATGAAAAATTGCATTCGGATCCTAATGGGTAGTTGTTTGTTTTACCCCTAAGTAATCTTTTTTTTTTGAACAGTCAATAAAATCTAGGATTCTACAAAGAAATGAAAATAAAATCTATGACTTTTTTTTAAACCTTTTTTTTTTCAACTTATTTTATATAATATATATCTGTGTTCAGTATTGATTTGATTGTTTTCACTTGGAATACAGCTACAGTTTGTTTGTTTTTGTTTTTCTGCGTCTAAACTAGTAGATATCATAGTAGAGAAGAAGATTGATGTAATTTGAAATAACAATTGGTTGTTTCTTCTTCGATTTGCATCAGTTTTCCTTGCAAACTGTAACATTTGAACGTGACATCGTCGGCACCAAACGTCGTAATTTAACTTTCACGACGGTAGATTTTGTCCATAATTTTAAAGAAGATGCTATGTGGCACGCCACGCGATGTTTGCTGAATGTGAGTCTTAATCAAATTGTATGATTCTTCCTCGTATAAGCTGTAGGTGTGTGGAAGACCCAAATCTTCGTACAATTGCTTTACACGATTCACACATTCCTCATCTGAAATGCACAAGAAATAGAACTTTGAATTTGGGTGGAATATTGAAAGAAAAGACAAAATTGGGAAAAAATGAATGAAAACAAGGAAAAAATGGTTAGAAAGAGATTGATGTCCATTTTTCCTTATTTTTCTAGTTTAAATCTTTTTTTCAGTCCATTTAAGAAGTTTATTGGCCTTTTCGTGGGAAATTTTAGTTTTCAGTTCGCCGATATTAGAATTGGACATTGTTAGATTGGATCTTCTTCAAAATCATCAAAATTTCTTTATTTGAAGTACTTGAAGAAAGTATTCGCCTCTTTAAAGCTTTGAAACAGCTCTTCTTTATCGAAGACCATGCAATTGAAAATTCTCAGTGTTATTCTCATGAATCGCATGAGTTTTCTCCGAAGAATGCCTCCAATAATTTCTTCAATATTTCTCCAAAAAAATACCAAAACTATTTAAAACGATTGAACCCAAACTTACCATGTTTGCCATAGCAATCTCTCATGATTTGCTTCTGTGCTTCGGTGGCACGTTGCATGCACAAAACAGATAACCATGTGCATTTGTTGTCTTGGATATCGGTGCCAATTTTGCCCGTTACCTCTGGATTACCGAAGCAGTCGAGGAAATCGTCTTGTACTTGGAAAAAGTGGCCCATTTCCAGGAGGATCGTTTTTGCTTGGCGGAATACCTCTGGATCTTCGTATCTAGAATAAGGAAGAACAAAGTTTGTTCAACAAATATTAGTTTCAGCCGCGATTGAAAGAGACAATTCCAAGCAACGAATTGATTCCAACTATTCTTTCTTTTTTTTTTTCATCGAACAACACATTCTACACCGTTAAACAACCTGACCGGGTTTTTGTGCGTTTCATAATGCCCACTAGTCGCATAAGAATTTTCAAAAGCTCGGTATATGTTGAAGTAGCGGAATTGAACCCATATTTATAAATTTGACAGTTCTAGTTCAAATTAAAATAAATTTTACTTCAATGAAAAATCTTTCAATGTGTTGTTCAACAAGTCCGAAATGTTGAACAAAAAAAAGGTTGGGAATTCAAATTTGAAGCAAAAAAAAAACTTAAAATCACACTCACCCAGCCAAATGCATAGCCAATGCAACCGGTAAGTAGAATGTATAATAAGCGGTTTTGTGGTCAACAATAGATTTGTATCGATCCATTGTAAAGCAGCTAACATCCCGATTGGCCGTTTGCAAGTCCAGCGATTGGCCAATGGTGGTGATGAGCATTGTTTCATGGACTAGTTCGACTAATTTCATATAACTGGGCAAATGGCTAAAATATTTCTTCAAAATAACATAAATACAGTTCTCAATCATGAGGGCGTCATTGATGGCGGTCAATTTGACATCTTCCAATTTATACCAGCACGGTTGGCCACGACGTGTTTGACTACCATCCATAATATCGTCCATGATTAAAAATGTTGATTGCAACTGAAACACAAACAAACAAAATATGGAATTGTTATTCAAAATATTGCTCATAAATCATTTATTAGGGGTGTTAACTAGACAAGGGCATGTTTGACCTCAATATTTGTATTTGTTTGCTTCGACTCGATTATTGTTGTTGAATATTGCGTTAACAATGTGGTCTGTTCAGAAAAATACGCTGACAACAAGAGGGGGAGAGAGAGAAAAATGATTGACGAACCGAACGAAAGAACAAAAAAATTGTTTTCGTCGAATATAAGCGATTGCAAGCTGATAACTAGTCTCTAGTTGCTGTCAAACATACATTCGCGGTGATAATTGGTTTTTTGATCACATTTGTATGAGCAGCACACCAAAAATATAGTCATTATCGACATGTTTTTTTTTCGTGCGGCGATAATGCTTCAATTAAGGTGTGAATTGATTGCTTTTAGTTGGCTGTTGGGCCGACACATGATGGCACCACTCATATTACTTATTTTCTTTCTTTCACACACACACTCGATCTCACTCTCTTATCTTCTCCCTCTCCCGGTCTCGCTCTCCCATTCTCTCTCTGGATCAGGTCATTCTTGATGCACAGCTGATACAAAATATTTGCATAGCTCATCAGATGTTTACACCAAAAATAGATTTGGTTAATGAATAAAAGTGGCACATTAGCATCAAACTGGATTTGTTGTGCATAGCAAAAATCGTCATTTATAGAAAGAAAAATTGTGTGAGATTACGTCAAAATGCCCGGTTGCTTGTAAATTTCTATTGATAAAATAGACTCAATCTCAATGGCACACAAAAATAGCGTATTTTATCAGTTGCGGAAATGTCAGAACAATAAAATGCGCCATTTTTAAAATTGCGTGACGCTGCTTTTTCCCTTGGTCTTCATAGAAAAGCAAAAAATAGAAAACATCAGCCTTTTATTGATGCAAAATGTTTCCGGCGCATTCTTTTATCGTTGTTGATCTATATTTTCTAAAGTTTTTTTTTTCTGTTTTATGAACTCTATTGACCTCGGCAGCTGACGATTTTTGATTGTTTATTATCAAACGTTCTTGCTAGCTCGAATGTGATGCGTTGCGAAAAGGGAAAAACACGTGAACATGATAACAGTTTCGCGTGTGCAAAACAAGAAAACGCTGATTGAAGTGGTGTTTTTTTCTGTTATTCTCCGTTACATGTTTGCTCATTGTTTGGACGCTTTTATTGTTGAAACAAAAACAAATGTTAGCAACTCAACCATTTCGTCTAGTAGCCGCAAGTTGAGTGTTCATGACAGAAGAAACTAGATTTTATGGTAGCATTTGACTCATGATACTCACCATTTCAACGCACCAACCGAGATAGTGAGCAAGACGAACATTCTCTGGTGTCAATTCGGATTCATTTGCAATCAATGATTTATACGCCAACACCGTGGCCAATCCACGATTCTTTTTGCCGCATGGGACATTGTATTGAAGAGCCTGCAAAAAATGGATTGTTTTTTTGTTTATTTTGAAATTTGATACAGATTTTTTTTTCTTGCGTTGCCAAGTGTTTTATGCACAGTGAGCAATGAGCAGTGCACAACTTACCCGAGCCAACCATTTTGATGCATCTTTTGAGTCATATTTCTTAGCCTTTTCCGTCAAATCACGCACAAGATCTGTGAATGGAAATGAGTTTATTGAACAATTGCATCACATTTCAATGTGAATTGAAGATTTATGGGGAATAATGTTGATTCAAGACTTTTCAATCATCAATATAAAACAGTTCATGTAAAGAATTGAAATGAAAAAGAAAAAAAAAAGAAAAAATTGCAAATTCTTCATCGAATCCAGAAATTCCGAACAAAATAAAAAATTCGCAGAAGAATTGAAAAAATTTTAATAATTTAAAGAAAAACTCATAACTCCATTGTTCTGCTACGCTCACACATTCAGGTATGAATCCAACTATGAAAGAATATTTCACATTACCTGGGAAGACGGACATAAATTCACGGCATTCGTCTTTCGATACAGCGGTCGAGTTTGCCGCCAACGGCATCGAGTAATTCAGAGTCGATAAGAATCTGAAATTATACAACAAAACACATTTGTCCATCAACAATTGAAGTGTACGAAGAAAAAACTCTTTCATTTTTTTCTAAACAGAGTCAATAAAATATAAAATATAAAAACGGAATTGTAAAATTAATCAATCAAGATTAGACGTTATCTATTTAGGGCAGAAGTTAACAGGTTTTTTTATGCCGACATTATCATAAAGAAATCGTGATTCGATTGATTTTTTTCTCAGTTTACACATATTCATTGAATTCTAGTTCGATTTTTAATATTCGATTCGAGCTTAGTATTCAATCGAGTTTAGCACAAATTTAAATCACATTTGAACATTGACATCGAAATCAAATGCAAAATGAATAGCAAAACTTATATGAAGATGGAGTACACGCACAGTAAATTTGAGTCTGAAATAGTAAACAGAGCCAAATCGACGGTGAATTGAAGCTGAACGCGGAAATGATTGATATTGATACCATTTTTAATGAATTAGCTGAATCAAAATTGAATCGCAATCGAATTTCAGACATTTCTGAATTTTTCCACAATTTCTTTCACTTGGTTCTTTAATGTTGATTGTGGGAAGTTGAATTCAGGTCAAAGTCGAATCAGAATCCGAATAAACATTTCAATTTTTTTTTTTCGTGCATTTTTTGCTGCAGAATTTGGTCACCCTGATTAAAAGTTTCGATGATTTCGAGTCCATTTTTCAGGCTTTGTTATGCGCTAAATCCATCATGCTGAATAAATTCATGCGATAGATTTATGCGATAAATGTGATGCGCTCGCTTTGCGGTGAACGAAGTCTGTTGCTCTTCAGTTGTTCACGCATGAACGTTCATGCTTTGCAGTGAACGCATCGCTAAGCGGTAGTGAAGAGCAACATACCTCGTATAAAGTCCACCTGATAACGACAACCACTGCAGAAAAAACGTTCGATGTGAGTCAACACTTTCGGTGATTGAACGGGATGCACGGGGTCTTTTAAAAATAAACTGACGGAAGTTGTTGCTTCGCTGCGCGAAAAAGTCATCAACGTCAGTGAATTTGGTATTTTTGTGCTTAAAGAGCGAACGAAACAAAAATCGAACAAAAGAAGTTAATGTAAAGTAACAAAGCGGTATTGAAATGAAAATTACTGTAGAATTTACAGCGCATTCGATTTAACCTTCGTTCGTTATGAATTAATGTGCATTTTAAAATGGTATTTTTGTTCGTGTTCAATGGATTCGAAATGCTAGTCGATTTGTTTGTTGCAATAGCATTCGGTTGATTATAACAAATTATCGAACCATCTAAAGTGTCAATGGGTGAACGATTGGGGAGTCTCCAAAAACTCAAGATAATGGATTATTTTTGAAAAAATGTCGAAATCGACGATTGCTAGTATTATGTTGGTCGGTCGAAACTGAAATGAGGAAAGAAAAAAAAATTTCAAGTCAAGAGACCATTCGATGATCGCATGTTGATTGTATTGTTTTTGTGTCAGCACAGCCAAAATTGGAACGCATCTACCCAAAAGATAACTGTATACAAAGAACGCGACGAAATTTTTTGGATGCCAGAGCGACGAAGCTGGAGAGCGGATCGATGCGGTGCGACTGTTTGGCTTCGATTCGTGAGTGAGTGTGTGTGTTTTTTCGGGCTCGTCGTTTCGAGTTGAAAACAAGAAAAACGTGTTTCATTCGAATCTATTCAATCATGCGCAAGTTTTGAACGATCTCGCACACAGCGAGCGCATGTAGAATGGCCAGAGATCCCATGGGCATCGCATAGTCTCGCATTATTACTTTATTTGTGCTGCTGCATCGTGCAGCGATTCGGCGAAATGAAGAGGTATTTGCATTTTTCATGCAATTAATTCGTTGCATTCGTGATCATTAGAGACAGAGATATGCTGCCAGTGGTTGTGTGTCGCTGGACAATGCAAAAAAGAATGAGAATTGTTGTTGTCTAGCATCTTGTTTAGGGAGTATCGCGCCAGCATCGAGTTACAACATTAAAATGTCAATTTATTGAGAGAGAAGAAAAAACCGCCGCCACCACCACCAACGTGTGTGTGTCTGTTTATATGTGCAGTCATAAAAATTGTAAGCCTATTGGTTTATTGACACGCGCTTAATTCTTCAGCACGTACCAATATTTAGCAACGAATTGAAAACAGCAACAGCAACGTACATTGCATGTTTGTTGCTCGACCGATTCCACTAAATACCTGTGTACATGCATAATATTTGGATTTGGCTGGCTTGATCGGAATTAAAATAAAATATTAGCGAAGAGTGGAATGTACAAATCCGAAATCGGCGAAGGAATCGAAAATGGTAATGGCAAACGCACCACACCAGAAGTTGACTGCCTTTTGATGTGCATTCATTTGATGCATGTGAGAGAGTTTGGCTTACGCAAGCGCCGCCAAACTGAATTGTGAATGTTGGTTTTCGGTTGAGTGCTTTTTTCACCATCAGCACAGCGCAGCGAGCGAGCGAGCGAGCGCGGGCAACGTACAACAAAACCGAACCTCTCAACATCACAATCGAACATGAATTCATTTCCGTCGGTTTGTTAGTGGTCAATCGACTATTTTGCGGCTTTTTTACTAACTAATTGTTACTAATTTGCAACGTGTGCAATGGACATTGTCTGTTTGCACCTTAGCTCTAGTGAGTTTTTGAAAAAACGACACTTTTTCTTGAAGAATGACACAAAAAGACACAACAAAGGCGAAAATTAAATGAAACATATCAACGAAAATCGGAACATGTGCCAAACTCTTGGCAAAATATCAGGAAAAAGTGCGACAAACCACAGAAATAGCATGCAAATTTCGAAATTTCATGGAAAAAGAAGAAATTTGCTGAAGTTGCCAGCAATGCGAAGAGAATAACAAAAATTCGGTGGAACTAAAACATTTTGAGATCGCAAAAATTAGAAAAAAACCAAAAAATTGAATGAAATACAGTGAGTAAGTCTGTTTTAACGTCTGTCTGTCATTGCAAACTAACTCTTTTTAGGAAAATTTACAGAAATGTCTAAAAAAAACCTTAAGAAGCTCGTGGAGAGCTCCAATTGGAACTAAATTTTGAATTTGTATCATCCACAGAAGAAAAAAAATTGAAAATTGATCTCTTTACATCTCAAAGAGTCACATTTTCTACCAAAACCCCAATGCTACTCATTGACCATGTTCCGTAATCATTTTTGGTCGACTCAAAAAAAAAATCCTCGGCCATTCTGAAATTGTCGCTTCGAAACGTTGTTGAAACTTATCGTATGTTTATTCAAAAAAAAAAAAATGGTCAAACCATACAATTTCGCAATGAAATTACGCGAGGTAAAGGTATACATTAGATTTGGTCAGTGGTTTAGGAGAAAGTTTCAACACATTTTGATCACGTCATCGGACAATTACAATGTTGCAACATTGCGCATCCATACACTGTGTACTCAGTTGTATTAGATCTCGTTTTTTGTATGAAAGAAAGTATTCAGTATCCGGATGCGGTGCAATAAAAGCACAAATGATTCATATTTGTTTACTTAAAAGTGAATCATTTCCATTCGATGATAAAAGCTTAAATCTATTTTATGATTCCAATCAATTTCCATTGTATTAACCCAGGTGTTCAATACTTTCCATACACATTTTTTTTCGAACACTTGTTTAATAATTACTAATCCATTATAATGGGTTAAAATGAATCAATTCAATATGAATAATTTCTTTGCATTGAATAAGTGCGAAATTTCTTGAAAAGAAATAATTTTTCATTTTCTTTGATCAATTTAAAATTATGGTGTAGTGCACACATAGTCAAATAAAATGAATTTATTTCATTTCGAACTGTTTCCGAACCCAAAGCGATAGAAAAAAAAAACACATTGATTCGACCAATGGCTGACAGCAATAATTCGCCGCTAAAATAGATGCGATTCGATGTTTCTGTGGCTGGGTCTGAATTCAAGGGCTGGAATTGAGTAATGTGCACTGTCCGGCTGCAGCAAATACAATTATCACGCAAACAGCAACGAGAGAGAGAGAGAGAGAGAGAGAGAGAGAGAAAAAGGCGCTTGAATTTGAAGTAAACATAGATTTGCAGTGCACGCTTAAACCGAATGATAATAACCGATTACAAAAGAAGTTTGAAAAAAAATGAAGCGTCAAGCGATGTGTTGTGTGTGTTAGTTTGTTTTATCACTTTGTTTGAAGAAGAAGAGAAATAGAAAAAAAACTGGTTGCAATCACGCAATTGCTGGCTGCGTAGTGAGATTTGAACATATGAAACCAGAAAACGTCTAAAAATAAACTATTCGCTATCAAATGGGGAATTGAATTGATATCGAAAATGATTTGTTTTGTTCATATCTCATGTTTGTTGATCAAAGTTGTTGAGAGACAAAGAGCAAGAGGGAGCGAGAGAGAGAGAGCCGAAACAAAAAATGTCACGTATCAAATAGTCTTGGAGTAGCTTGATGTGTCTACTCGATGACAGTGAACAGTTATCACCTTCCCGGTGTGCTGGGTGTGATCGTTTGTTACCATCTCGACCGAATAAGTGGGCTGCGTCATTGAAATTAATCAAACAAGTGCATGTGAAACAATAGATCCGCACACACACACACCGCGACTTGAGCACATAAATTTGTTTGTTTTAGCGGTGATAGCGATATGGCTTCATCGCATTCAGATTTGTGTTCTCGTTTCGGTTTTTTTTCTCGTTCAGCTTGCCAACCAAAACGAAATGTGTGGGGCTCCGATAACAGCGAATGGAACATGTGCAGTGAGTGTGATAACCGGCACATAATTAGAATCGTAAACAAGAACATTTGCGTATGACAACAGCATAAACGACGTTCCACCAGAACCGGTGCGCGCATTTAAAAATCGAACGAGAAAAAAAAACCTATACGCAAATCGCATTCACCGATGAGGCCGGGTAATGAAGAAACGAAAACAAAAAACCGGGCGAAGCGACAATGAATATTTATGCTCATTTTGCTTTGTGTGTTTCGTTAAATATTTATGCCAATTGGACTGGATACGATCGTTTAGAATGTTTCTGAAAGCAATGACATCATAGCTCCGTGTGCGCGTGGGCCTTTGTTTACACGCGACTGAGTGTGTTTCGCTATTTACTTGGAATGTAAATCAAACACGGTGTTTTGCATAGATTATGGCACTGCCACCTGTATTTGAGAACTGTGCACCGTTCAGAATACATGACTGTGAAATTCCGGGCCGAGTAAATTGAATAAACTTTGCCGTGTGCAATGACTAACTAACAAACCAAGTGATTTTCGAAGTCGGCCGACTAGACGCACCTTTAATCACACCGTCTGACGTTGCACTATGACGACAATAACAACAACAGCCAAATCGTAACCTTGACAATCAAATGCACGTTAGATGAACGATGCGGTGCGTCAATTTTCATTAGAACTACATAGCAATTTTCTCCTTTTAATTGCGTCGATCGCAAAACAATGTAATTTTAAGTACAAAAACACGCACACAAATGATCACGTTTTCGCTCATTTGGTTGGATGTAAACTTGGCAACTGAGCACGTCTCGTCACTGAAACCCGAAGCGAAAATAAACATTGCTGGTTCTACGTTTCGCCTCAAAACCAAGTACCATCAACAGTGTTGATTCAACACGCATGTCTTAAGCGAAATTGTACGGCGCAATAAACACTATCAACGCACCACAACGAATATGGATTTGAAATTTGAGCCTAAAGACAAGCCAAGAAAGAAAACAACGACACAACGCATTAAAGACGAGAAACAAGACATGATTTCACAATACGAACGAAATGAGAATAGAAAACATGATAAAAACCATACGAATGTAGAACGCAGAAGACAACCAAAGTTGAAGAAGGAACATGCAACTGGAATCGGATTTGTTTACAATTTGCCTCAGCCTTCTTTGTACATCGCTTGTTGCGAGTCCTTATCTCACACACACACACCGACCAAACAATAACAACATCATCGCTGTTGTGTGTACACTGTACAGTCATCATCGAAAAGTCAGCTGGTTCGCTACCTATTTCAAAATATTTATGTTGTGCCGTGTGCACTGCACACCATTTTTAACATCACAGACTCATTTATCTGGAATTTTGTATATTTAATCACAGTGAGAAGAGAAAAAATGTACATTTTTGTTGCGCAATTCCATGCGATTCTTTTTTTACTTCCATGTTTACCTCGTTTCGCCCATGAACACACAGTTCCCAAAATGCTTAATGCTTTGCTATTCTCGCTTATTTCTCACTCTTCTTCTCTCTGTACCTCTCTTTCTCTCCTTCTTTCTCCTTCTCTCCCTGTTGTTTCTCTTTGTTTCACATGTTTTTTTTTGTAAATATTTGCGCGAGCCTCGCATATAAAATGGATCGCTGTTGGTCTGTATTAGCACAACTGGCACTTGACTTGATGAATTTCATCGCATAGATAAAACGCATTTTACACAACTAATCGATAGATATAATTGAGTTCGGAATGAATTAAGCGACGGCTGAGTGTAGCTTTTGCACAAACTATTCGATACGAATCAAGTGCGAATTAGTTCGTTCTATTTATAACGTTTGCCGGCTTCTCTCTCGTTGCGCTTTCATGTTTGATAGATAGTGTGGAGTAAGCCACAATAAAAAAAAAGCATAAACGAGCTATGAATACGAGCTCATGCTTAGCCAATTGCATCGAAATCCAATGTAAAAGACCACATTTGATTGAAACACAGTAAAGCGGTTTCTTAAAAATGGTACACGCTGTGGAATCCACAGCGTGGATCTTGACGAGGAAAAATGACTGTCGTTTAGACTGAAGTTTTTCTTCCAAGATTGATTTTACCCATCTAGTTTGTTTTCCTCTCTCAAAATTGACGGCGTTTTTGAAAAACATGGACTTTTCGAAAACAAACATTTATTTTTCTTAGAAAACGTGAATTTTTCTTCACAAAAAATATTGATTCCATATTGGTTTCAAATTTTTGTCTGAAAATTTGGAGCAATTCAATCCAAATTAGCGCTCTTTTCTTGTGAAAAGTGATTTTTCGACAAATTTTCCGGTTTTTTCCTCTTAAAAGTGATTTTTTTTCGTTTAAAAATAGATTTTCTCTCTGCACTTTGATTTTTCTTCCAATGAAAACTACAAATATTCCCTATAAGTTTCGATTCTACTTCAAAAACCTGTATTTTCTTCAAAAATCGAATTTTTCGCTTCAGAGTTCATAACCGTAAATTTTTCTCGAATCGTTTTCATTTCCAATCTTGTTTCTCTTTCAAACTTTTCCTTCTTGTCATTTTTTTCCTCTTCTTCTTCTTCCAGTCATCTCCTCAAAATCATCAAACCATTCGCAATCCAAAGTGAATTGCTATAATGGCAATGCAATTTTCTGTTTTTATAGCCGAACTGATTGCATCCATATCGTATGTTATCGATTCAAAACAAGTGCAGTAGAGTCGAAACGACAAAAAAAAACAAAAAAAAAACACAGAGATGATGTCAATTACCTTTCGGTGCGTCGAACGCGCCATCGTTCCTGTTGTTCCAATTTCAGTTTGTCATTGGGTTGTTGTTGGTTTTGTGTGAGTACATCGCTGCGTTTATTTCCTGAGCTGGTGGAGATCCATTTAGCGTGGTGGTTAATGTGTTGATTGGCACGTACCACTTGTTTGGCGAGGGATGGAAGTGTCGACGTGACTTTAGTCAGTTTCGAGAACATCTTGGTTTCTTTTGCTCGCGTTGATAACAAATTACAATGTCAAATAAAAAAAAAATCCGTTCTCGATTGGCTATATTTATTTTTGTCGTCGTCGTCGGTTTTCCGGTAAATTTGACACACTTCTCGATAGGCTTTCGAATTTGTCAAATTGTATCGCGAAAGTAAACAGCACACAAAATCTTTGGTATTGGTGATTACAAAGCGAGCCCGATTTCACGATGATAACAACGCGAGAAAAGTATGGTTGCCTTAGTTTTCTCTGCGTTTATTCAGAGGGAAACCAAATTCAAGCAAAATTTCTCTTTACTTTTTGACTTGGCTGCGTCTAATTGATTATATTGTTTCTGCTTGATGTGCGACACCTGCGATATTAGTCGTCGAATTGAAAATGTGAATGTGTCGCTCTACCCAAACTATCGGAATCTTAACGCAGACAATATGATGTAGTTGTTGCTGTTTTTTTTTATTTAGTTTAACTTGGACTTGATCGCACGGCAAGAAAGAAAGTGACAAAGAGACGAAGAGAAAAATATGATTCCTTTCACTCGATAGAAATAAATGATTCGCATTAGGCTCTTTGAATGGCGGTTCAATTGAATAATTATGATTATTTCAACGCACAAAAAAAGTGCTGCTTTTCTAGTTTGAATGATATCAAAATCCACAAACCGATTTGGAATTAAACGGAAATTTTTCTTTTGCTTCGACACGAATGAACTGATCACTTGAACATGTCCTACGTGACTGATTCCATTTGACGCGGTATATTCGATTAAAAACAACATACATTCACACACTGACTTGCTCTCTAATCGACATCGGCTGACTCGACGTCTGTTTACTTTGTGCGGTGATTTGGTGTGTGTCGATGTGTGCGAGTGTGTTCGTAGGACCAATAGCTCGTCTACTTCAGTTCATATCACACTGATACGTAGCCAAATTTATATATACTAATACGTCGCAACCATCGGCTGAATCAATACGAACAGCAGCAGTTCGACGTGCGAATGTATGTGTGCTCGCATGACAGACTGAGTATGAATCAATATGATGGAGACGCCTCAAATTCCTTTTTCTCTCGCATTTTTTCACACTTTTTTTTGCTTCTAAATCGACATACAGTTCACGTGATTTCGGCCGGCTCCATCAATTTACACCCAATTATGCTCATGTAATCAATATCGAGTCTTGAATTCTTCAAAGTGATGTAGACCATTGACTTGCTCAATTTTTTTCATCAAAAAAGTTGATTGGTTCAGAATATACTGAAGCCTTAAAAGAACACTTTTCGGATTTGTTCTAGAATTTGCCATGGTTTTTCGGGTGTATTTGGTTGTTTTTCCTCAAATTTTTCAGTCGTTCTTCAGTTTTCCCTGCTTTTTTTCAATTTTTTTCCATTGTTTCCATTTTTTTCTTCTTTTTCATTCATTTCCTCCAAGTTTTCTTCAAAATTTCTTCTTCCCCTTTATTCTTTTCCTTTTTCTCTCTTTTCTCTCTGTTCATTTCTTGCATCTTCAGTCTTTTTTCCTCTTTCTTCCTCTTCCCTTCGACTCAACACAGACCTATTCGCCTTCGGCTCAACTCCCGCAGAAATTCGAATCGAATCACTCAATTCCATTCCAAGAACCAAAACACCAGACAAAACCTCCATTGACTAATCTAACATGTTTTCTTTATTATTTACATTTTTCAGTAACTTATAATTTGCATTTTTTTCATAAACTTTTTTTTTTTGACAAGAAAAAGAATAAACTAAAACGATGCCCATTGGATATTGGATTATTTATCAACCGTACGAACGTAGTTGAATCGGGACAATGCAATTTACATTGAGATGATTGACGGGTAGAATTTTTTTTTGGGTCTTGTAGTTAAAATTGAGAATGTGTTGTTGTTAATTTTTTTTTGTTTCGTTTTTGGTTTTGATAACTTGATCTAATACACAATAAAACAGACGATAAGCAATAGAAGAATTGATTTGAATCAAGAAATCACATAATCAACAAATGTTCGGTAAATATTGTAATCTTTGTGTGTATGTGTGTGATTATTGACACAAAAAAAAGAAGAGAAGAATAGAAATACTTTAAGTGTGTGCACTTGGCTCGCGATAGTTAAAGATTTGTTTTGATATATGAGCAGCATTTACACACGCATAGCCAATTCACCATTCCGCCGAAATCGAACCATTTTCATAGGATGCGCTTTTTGTATTGGTGGAAGTTCATCAGATCCTAAACGACGTGGGTTATGGAAAATGATTTGGTTTCGGTGAAATGTGCGGCCAACAATTTGGATCTTAAACAAATAAATATAGGAATGTGTTGGGCTGCATTTAGGCAGTGGTGCGACTGTTGGCATAGAATTGTTGTCCTGAAACCACCAAGGTGAGCACATAAATGCACGCAGCTATCCAGCAATTCAATGCATTCTGAAAGAGTAAAACAGACAACAAAGCATTAGTTTTGTGATGACAAAGGTTAAAATTGAGGGCTAAGGTCGCAAGAGTTTAGCAATTCGGGGGAGTTTGCTCACTTTGTAGCAAAATTTGGTTTTTTTTTGACAAAATATTGCAATTTTTGGTTGAAACTTGAACAAATAATGGCAAAAATTGGAATTTTTTTCGTCAAAACTTGTCCAACATTTCAGAAAATCGAATTTTTTCACCAGAATTTGGTTATTTTTAGTAAAAAATTGAACACATTCTAGCAAAAACTAAACATATTCTACCGAAAATTGGTGATTTTCCGATGAAAATGCTCAATTTTCGACCAAATTGATTTCTCTTCCGCAAAAATCGCAAAACAAACTCGAAAATGTGCCCCAATTATGGCAAAACGAGAATAAAACCAGTCAGAGCATTAACAGAAAACCATGTAAAACTGTCAAAAAACCCCGCAGAAGTGATATTCTATTGTTCCAAGCGTCGCCGAAGTCATATGGAACCCCTATGTCAATATGAATTGGTCCATAGAAAAATCAATTTTCAACAGCCAGTCTTTTTCTCCGTGTTGTGCGAAAATTACCTGGCTGTATGCTTTGTCAGCGTCAGTATAGAAGTCGCTTGGTCTTTCGTATGTATGTTTCAACGGCAAGTCTTCAATCAGAGCCACACTGTGCACATAGTAGAAAATGCCCATCAAGGTCTGTTCAGCGAAATAAACAAGAAAAAATGTCAATATTTTCGGCAATTGAATCAATTTACAAAAATGCACATCAATTCCAAAGAAACTAAACGAATTAATCCCGTTTTTTCCTACTCAATCGTGTGTATCATTCGTAAAACCATTGGTCACACGAACTGTATCAAGTGATATCACACACGGGACGAGAGCAAAAAAAAGGTTTCTTTGGAAAAAAAATTCATTGTCATTTTATGCTTACCAATTGGATAATTCCCCATACGGACAGGATCAAGCCGCAAAGCGACAATTTTGGGCCACAAATCTGCATATTGAACGATTTATGGATTGTCTAGTAAATGACTATTTGTGATAAAAAGCTACTGCTGATGATGAATTTATTTTTTTTTAATCACAAGATTCACTTTGCTCAGCACTGCACTGTCTATTTCGCTTTTATGATATCTTTTCACGTCAAATGCTTGACTCAATCATGTGACAGCTTTTTTTTCAGCCTTGTTATTGCTGTTCTGCGAACGAATATGGGTTGACAGCGCACTCTGTCGATATAACGGTCGACGAATTCAACGTGAAGTTGGATGCGAGCATGAAACCGAGTCAAACAATAGAAAAACCAAAAAAAAAAACAAGAAAAACATTTTAAATCATGTAAATGAACGAAACATTTTGTTTGAAACGTAAAAACAAGTTTTTTTCGCTTTCAATGTAAAAGAAACGCTCCAAAAAACCTTTCTTGGGAGGGAATTCCGTTTTTTATTCAATAAATACATTCGAAAAAATGTACAAATATAATCAATAAATTTAAAAGATCTAGCAATTTATTACATAATTCATGCATTGGCGCTAAATTTCAAAAGAAATCAAAATATACAGCAGATATGGTGCATAGTAACTATGTACCTGATGGATTATTCTTTAAATTTGTTCCTCTTCGATTTAAAATCATACTCAGATGATTCTTTGCTTTTTCTTTCTAAAAAATTAAATTAAAATTTCAAATCGAATACAATTTCTTTATAAGAAAGATTCAGAAAAGGTCAATAAAATAGCACACAGACGGCAAACACACATTTCATATGGGTCTCATCATGGTAAACACACATCTGTCCATTCGATCGCTATTCAATTGTGTTTCCATTTGGCGAAATTAACCATTGGTGTGATATTTGATTTGCGTTCAATTTCGATGTGTTCATCGACCACATTTTCAGTGTTATAGAATCGTTTGAGTTCATCGATGGCCGTCTCTTCGATTTGTGTCAATAACAGGGATTTACATTTCATTTTATTATAATATTCCTTTTGTTTGCGTTCATCTTTAAGGATTTTGGTAAAGCTATCATTGGTCGAAGTGGTTGGGAGACTGGATTTGGTTGGCGATAGTGAAAAGAAACTGTCGTTAAACGATGTACTTGAGTCGAGACTGGCATTACCTCGGTGTGGCGAAGCAATATTAATGGGTTGTGTTTTGATAGCGGTTGGTGTGCTTGTCTCCGGCATCGATTTGACTTTCCACACATTGGCCTGTTCGGGTGGAGATGTTGGTGTATTCCATACTGACTTACCGGATGGCGATTGAATTGGATCGCTGGACTTGGTCGATGGTGAATTTTCACTCTGTGACAATTGTCGTCGTCGTTGTTTTTGTGACAATTTCGAACCTTTTTGCGGTGTAAAATCGCCAAGGCTTAAATTAAACGACGAACTTTTTTCGGTCGGAGATTCGATTGGTATGCTTGAGGCGGTGCTGTTGAGAGATTTATCCAAATGTGGTGATTTTGGTTCGAAATCACTCTGCTCACCCATTGTCTTCAGTTTCAATGGGATGAAATTGTCTTGGTCTTTTGATTCATTCCGCAGGATATCATTCGATTTTAAACCCGCCAGCACAACTTTTTTCCTCACATCCTTTTTGTCCGCCACTTTCATCCATTTGACCGATTCGTTGGCGAGCGATTTGGCCATTTCTTCAGCCTCAACAACGATACTATCATCGGTTGGCTTTTTGATTGCCGGTGATGTTTCTTCGATCGACAAATTCTTCACCAAATTAATCGCTTCCTTTTCATAATTCCGTCGATCGCTCGATGGTCGTTCGGCTTTTTTCACCTTCACCGGCTTCGGCGTGGCTTCACCCTTTTGCAATAAATCCACTTGAAAGTCGTCCACAAATGACATCACTGTTTCATCACTGACACAATCACCATATACGGTGCTTATCACGTGTTCGCTGTCATTTATTTGAAACACCTGTCGGTAATATTCGGAAATTTTTTCCATACTTTCAATTTGCAAATGCTCCAAACAGCGATTCTCCAGCAAACGTCCCATATTCTGGCAGATATAATCCAAACAAGCCGATTCAAGTAGACTACAATTGAAAATGGTCGCAAATTCATACATATCCGCACATTTTTTCGATGTCATCTTCTCAATCATCATGATTTCGATGATGTTTTTCAAACGGGTGACGAAAAATTGATCACAAATCTCCATGAGGTGATATAGAAATGAATCATTGTACTCTTTCTTACGAATGACATTTGTATCGTTGTGATACAGAAAATTTATGATTGGTTCCATGTATTCATGAGCCACTGTTGTTAAATGGATTACATCTTTCGTTGACTCCGACCAACTGCTGTTGAACATCAGATTGAAATATTCCAATCGCGTGCTCAGCACACATCGATGCGCTTTTATCTCACGATTATTCGCACATTTTATCGTTATATCGTACAATTCCGGATAGCTCAGCCGATTCAGTTTAAATGGGGTTTCTTTTATTGATGACGGTGCCATTAATCGATCAAATGACTTTGAAACACCGAATTTACCCAAATACTCACGAAACAGCGTGTATATATCTAAATTTGTTAAACCACTGTATGGATCAAATGACGCTTCTACATCCTCCATATCCTGCGTTGTTAACGTGTAATTCTCATAGATGTACTTCATTATTAATTCAAACATTTTCGATGTTAAACCCTCATAATTCAAATAGATGTGCTTGTCTTTATACTTTCGAATGATGTCACGTAGACCCTCAGCACGCGAATACACGATGTACTTGTGTGCGGGAAATATTTCGTCTTCAACCTGAAAAATTGTCAAATTATTGTTGGTATCAGAAAACTTAATCCGGTCTAGTTTCGTTATTTTCGAAACTTACATGAAAAACGATGTCATGAAGTAGGTCAAATTCATTGGTTTCATTGAGCAGCGATTTAAAGGTAATTGGATCGTCCGGTAAAATTGGGATTGATAGATAACGTTTGGAATTTTCTTGCAGCGCTACAAATGATTCACCGCGTTGATCGACCGAAACGTTTGTAACGCGATCGATGTTAGGTATCCTGGTTAAATCAATGTCATATCTACACGTTTCACTAATGTCCATTCTGCGATTGGATTTTTGTTCAACAAATTCTTCTTCACAGCCACGATGATCTTTCGACTCAACCGAACTCCGTGTAATGGTTCCCTTATAAAGAATACCGTCAGTACCCAGGATCAACAGTGTTCCATCGCTCCAATAGACATTTTTTATCGAAAACGAATGCTTCATAAAACATCGGAAATACTTTTGTTCATCATTCGACCAGAGAAATATCGCATCCGATTGCGTTAAAACTAATACTTCCAATGGTTCAGCACTCAAAGCTACCGGGATGAATAAAAAAAATTCGGAAATTAAATTACATGTTTGTTCAATAACTCAAAAATTGATTGTTCAACAACTGCTTGATGCAATTTAACTCAAAATGCAATTATTGATGATCAATGCACTTACATTTTTCTTGAGTATTGACCAGACTACCACCAATTATGGCTATGTGCTTGACAGACTCGTGTATGATTGGCTTCTTAAGCGTTTTCACTTTGAATTTGGCATACAATAATATCAATCCAGATGTGGTAAGTACAACAATTGCCGCATTACTTGAATCAACATATGCAATTTGATGCGAAAACGTCTCCAACTGGATATTTATGAAATGGAGGAAAATTTGATTAAATTTTTTTTTTTAATCAAAAATTAATTTTCATTTTTATTTTTTAAACAAAATTTTACCTTTTTCGGTTGCGAGATTTTGACTTCGGTCGATGGCAATCCAAACTGTCCACAATTGGTGCCCCACACGTAAACCGAGTCAGATGTGTACGCCAAGCAGTGATAATCACGTGCGATCACATTTATAAAGCCTCGATCACTGCGAATCAATCAAATGAATTTTTAATTGAAAAATGCAGTGAGAAAATGGAAAAGACTATTGCTGGCCGTGAATCATTGGGTGAAAAATGTCAACGAGCAGAAATTCCATCGGGTTTTGACTCTGGTGAATTGATTATCTTCGAGTAATAGCTCGTTTATTTATGAAATTGAGAAATGTGACACCCAATATGTTCGTGTATCATGTTTCATTGGAAATCTCGTTTTCAACTCCAGAGAAAATATATGAACTCATCTCGATTGTAATTTGCAAAAAAAAAAAACTTATTTCGATTGTAATTTCTGCTTAGTTGTTTGAGGCAACTTGACCAGATGAGAAAGACATTTTATGACTTCGTTTTACATTTCGATCTTTGTACGTCATATCATTTCGAAATGGGAGTCATCAATCAAATAAAAAATGCAAGGCCTTTGATTTTCTTAATGTTTAGCCATTCAATTACCCGATATCAATGTCTCGCATAATCAGTGATTTATCGACCGGATTGCGTTGGCCGAGTTGAAGATGTGTATTCAAGCCGCATGTGAAAATGCGATCTTCACTAGTGATAGCAATCGAATGATTACGTGCCGTTGCCACACTGATGACCCGTTCATTTTTGTGCTTATTCGTGAGGTAAATCTTTTTCGGTAGAACTAGAGTGGTTTCATTGTTCGTGCCCAATCGGCCACCATCGCCCAAACCAACTGCATACAGTTCGCCTTTGTCATCCACATACAGGCAATGGTAACACGACAAACTAACGCTATTGATTGATACATTTTGCTTGAAGAAACAATCCAAATGATGCGGGTATGATTTGCCCTCTTTATTTTCCAAGCCCAAATTGTAATTGCGATTGTTACCCCACACAAGAATTTCTTTCAGATGATTCCTGGAAAGAAAGAGGGGAATAAATTGAAAAAATGGTTTTAATAATGATAAAGGAATTTGGTTTGGGTGAGTGGAATGAAAAAAATCTCCAAAAATATTGAAAAAAAGACTTAAAGAACTTAGAACGAAAAAATAGAGGCAAGGTCGTCAAATGACCGATTGAGAAAACGACATTGCGCGATTGGTTTTTGAATCATTTGGTAGTTTTTAACAAAAGAAATCAAAACTTGGGTATCTAACATCGGGCCGGTAAATTGAATATATTTTTTGAGAATCAACACAATAAAATACGAGTCTTGTGGCCCATCTTAGACGGTCTTCCCTGAATAAAAACAAATGATATATAGGCTGGTTCTCAAATACTCACTGTTCCTTAATGTGTGACTGTTCATGGACGTAATTTTTGGGTTTGCAGCAATATTGCACGGCTGACTTCAGCTTAAAATCATTCAGTTCAAAAGAGGCGCCATAGCTCAATAGTAATACAGCGATGTCAAAGTAGCCGTAATGAATGGCACGGTGTAGTGGTGTTTGGCCTGTCAAAAGTCCAAGTCATTAGTCAATAAAAGTGTCATTCAGTCAACACAACCTACCTAATTGCTTATCGGGTAAATTAACATCAGCGCCCTGTCGAGTCAGAAAGAAATGGGAAGGAAATGAGTGGAAAAATCAGTTGAATTTAGCAACAACATGAAATGAAACAAATTTGGTAAAAGATTTTGATTAAAAAAACTCACATTATTGATTAGCCATTCGACGATGGAGTATTTGTGTGTGGCAGTTGCGACGTGCAATGCGGTTTGGCCCTGCAAAAAATACCGATCGAACCCATTAAAAAAAGTGAAATGTATTTTAAAAGTGCGCTTGAAACCAGCAGGCATTTCAAAATGAATTAAAAATAGCACATCACAACTGTGTAATTTTCAATTGCCCACCTGAAGATCTGCGACGTGTGCGAAGTTTCTGCAGGTTTTTGCGATGAAAGCGGCAATTTTGTCATCGGCAATGGAATTTTTCATTAAAACACTGTTGATTCGTTCGCCATGGTCCGGATTTTTGCACTTTTTCCCGCAATTCTCATACGAATAATTGGCGATATTAAACATGTTCAATGGATGTTTATCGCTCTCGTTCCCTTTGTTGCCTGACGTTTTATTAATTAACTAGAAAAAAAACTCGAAAGAACGAAGCGAGGGGATAGATTTTGAATGGAATTGTTCGAGTGTTGTTCTTTGGAACAAGCGATGTTGATGTCACACACAAACGCTAATCGATGTGTCGATGGTGGAAAATCAATTGATTAATTATTTTATTCTCACATCCTGTATCAATCAAAACACAAAATTTCGTGTTACGTCGAATTGTGCAATTCCAATCGATGTTTACATCAACACACACGCACACACATCGCAACACATGCACTGATTATTTCTTTCTCTCTTTTTTCGTCTACTCTAGTAAAGAGTGAAAAGATAAAGTCTCCGATTGGTTAAAGTTCGTTCCACACAGAGATGACGTATAATTTTTGAAACAAAAAACCTTGAAAAGAAGAAAAAAAATTGGTGAATTGAATACGAAAACTTATTGATTTGGTTTCTGTGGTGACAAGTTGCTGTCAAATATGAATGCCAATTTTCGACACTCAATCGCCCGTTCATATCACAGTAGTTTTATCGTGTCGTCAATAGATGACGTCTATGTGTTGTCTACGTCTTTCGATTGTCTGCTGTGTTGTTTTTTTTTCTAGTTTCGTAGTTGGTACGAGATTTACGTTCGTACGGAGCTGAGCTACAATTTGACATATCGTCCCATATGAAATGCAGTAAACGTCAGTCGAAAACTTTGCAAGCGCAGTGTCGTTTCAATATTTTCCACAGCGATTAAGATTCTTTTTTAAGAAAGAAAAATAATTTATTTTCCCATCAATTGAACGAAATTGAAATGGTATTTGCGATGGAAGCTCGTCGTCTTTTGTTCAATCGAGGTCTTTTGACTCAGGTAAATGTGAAATATAAATCGAAACGCCTTTGTTTTTGTTCGCACACACTTTTTCACACCATAATACATTGGATATATCATATGAACGGGAGATATGATTGCATAACGTGCTCCGATCAAGTGTTTTTGTGTGAAATTTTTTGTTTTTGATGCTCGGTATCTAAATTTTGGCTTCGTCATATTTTCTGAAAGGAAAAATTGCGTTTTAGCCTTGATGATGCAATTGGAAGAAATAATTGTGTCTAATTTAATATGATTATCGAAATTGCGTTGTTGTGCTTTGACATCCATTTATCTAGATTGTTCGATTTTCATTGTCTAAACAGATTCGATACCTCAATACGTCGTCATCGGATTCAGCGGCCGCTGCTGAACCAGCATCAGCCAAAAAACCACGCATTAAAACATTCGAAATTTATCGATGGAATCCAGATAAGCCCAATGAAAAGCCACACATGCAAAAATATGAAATCGATTTGAACGATTGTGCACCAATGGTCCTGGATGCATTGCTAAAAATCAAGAACGAAATCGATCCAACGTTGACATTCCGACGATCGTGTCGTGAAGGCATCTGCGGCTCATGCTCTATGAATATTGGCGGCACAAATACATTGGCCTGCATCAGTAAAATCGATACAGATCTGAGTAAACCAAGCAAAATCTATCCATTGCCTCATATGTATGTGGTTCGCGATTTGGTACCTGACATGAGCAACTTTTATAAACAATACACCTCAATTCAACCATGGTTGCAGAGAAAGTAAGCATTGGTTCTTTTTTCCTTTCATTTGTTTTTCGTCTTTTTTTTTTAGCAATAATTTGGTATTTTTGTACTATGAAAGAATGATTTTTGTGTTTTGAAGTGATTTTTTCGGGATTTTCAAGGTTTTTCCTTATTTTTCTTCTATTTCTTCATTTCTTTCCTTTTTTTTCTTTGAATTTTTTGGGGAAAAATTAAAATTTCTCGAGATTGGTAGGCATTTTACAATAAACCATACCAATTTCAATATTCCTAAAATTATTTGAATACCAAGAATTGATGAATTATCAAAAAAAAAATGTAGCAGTTTATGTGTTTACAAATGAAATTTTTGGCAAAGATGTAGAAAAAAATCAATTATTTCAAGAAATTGTTCATCTTCAACTTCATTTATTCATTTTTATGATATCTATAATTTTTCATTCGGTTCATTTCGTTTGCTTTGCTTTGCTTCAAAGTGATTTTTTCTGCTTCAATTGAAGGCAATTATTGCTGTCAATTTTTTTTAAATCAATAACTATTTAATTACGATTTAATCAAAAACCAACTAAAAATACCCTGAAACGATTGCGACGCAAATTGATATATAAAAATTACGTTCATTTTTTCATTGCAGGAACAATGAGAAAAAGGGTGATGCGCAATACTTGCAGGATGTTGAGGATCGTAAACAGCTTGACGGTTTGTATGAGTGTATTTTGTGTGCATGTTGTTCAACCTCGTGCCCGTCATACTGGTGGAATGCGGACAAATACTTAGGCCCAGCCGTTCTTATGCAAGCTTACCGTTGGGTAATCGACTCACGTGATGAATCGACCGAAGAGCGACTCAATCGTCTCAAGGATCCATTCAGTGTCTATCGATGCCATACAATTATGAATTGCACAAAGACATGCCCGAAGGTGAGTGTCATGACGACATTTTTTTCTCTCGAGAACTTTTCTTCGCTGAAAAATACTCGCAAATGCCGTTAATTTTTTAATCTTCTTTGTTTTCACATCTTTTTTCGTTAATTTCGTTCGTTCATTTTCGAGAATTCATTTCCGAAATTTTCTATGTTCATTTTATTCAATATTTCCTTCTGCTCCACTTTTTCTAATTTACTCCATTTTTCTCGTATCATTTTCCAGGGTTTGAATCCAGGTCGTGCGATTGCTGAGTTAAAGCGACTTTTGTCCGGTTTGAACAAGAAGCCCGAACCAAAATTAGAAACAGCCGCACTGCATAAGAAATGAAGTGTATAGAAATCAAAGTAAAAATAGCCAACCGATGAACCATTCAATCCGATTATTTTTCGTTATCGACCCCGATTAATTTTTCTGGATCCAGTTTGATTGCGGTGCTTCTTCTACTCGTTGTAAAACATCCAAACACCCGCCGCCGCTGGTTTATGCAAATTCAATTCAATGAATTTGCCACACAGTTGTAATCGATTCGTTTTTATTTACTAAATAAATAAGTATGGATTTCTTGTTTGCTATGAACGATTTAGCATTTTTATTATGATTTTTTTCCTTTTCATCTCAGGATTTTTTTTTTGATATCTTAGATCAGCATTTTTGTTTCAATGCAGGGTCGTTTTATTTCCTTTTTTTGAATAAATCTCATGCAATCTTTGTTACAAATGGCATTTTTCAGTTCAAAATGTAAATTTCCGAACTTGAATTCAAAACAGCTGAAGTTTAATTTCAAATGGTCATCTCATTTTGTCACTCATTTTGTTTTTCAATAAAAAAAAACACCAAAACTACATACGATTTGGTTTCATTTTTGATGTTGAGATTTTTCTATGAATTTGAAACATGGCGATTTTTTGGCGGGTTTAACGATTTTTCTCATGATTTTTATTATTCTTCAGTCCATCAGATTAAGTTGTTCTTCAGTCAAAATGAGTTTTCAAATTGTTCGAAATTCTTCTTACTCCAATCACGAACACCTCTCCTTAATAATAAGCAAAAAAAAATAATGGCTTCGGCGTACAAAAAAAAGATTGGTTCAGTGTCTAGTAGTGTGTCTTGAATGTGTGGAAAGTTTCGAAATTCCACTAAAAACTTAACATTTTTTGGAGTCTAAGTGTATTTTTACTCAATGTAATCTAATTGATTTAAAAATGATTGAGATTGTGTTTTCAAATCATTGAATAAAGATCGAGACCAAACATATTTTCTATTTTTCAACACGAAACCACCTCCAATTCTACCTGATCCACTTTTCGATGCATATAACCGAAATACGTAAATCACGGCAATCGGCAAACATCATCGGCGCTGCTGCGCTGTGTTTACTCAATGACGTTTCAACAGTCAGTTTGACAATACCGACCCGAAATCATATGAGATAAACAAGTGATGAACAAATGAATGTCAATAAAACCGTGTTGATGCGAATACCACGAAAATTACTTGAATAATCATCGAAATTCGGCACAAAATTGTGAGTTCATTGTTTCAAATGTTTCAGATAAAATGTTCAGTTGCAACATTCTTGCTCATAAATTACCTCTGCGGCATTGCTGGTGATTGTGGTTGTAATAAATTAAGTCGTTCCAAATATGGAAAAAATGCGGCAAGTTTTGAAAATGAAATTTCAAGTGGATCTTGTGCTAAATCAGCAAAATTATCGGATGATGACATGGTAAAAATTACCGGAGGTAATTACATAGTGGGCACAAATGAGCCGATATTCCAAAGTGATCGCGAGTCACCGGAACGAACAGTGAGCCTTAATGAATTTTACATCGACAAATTTGAAGTGTCAAATGCGGAATTTACGGAGTTCGTCGAAGCGACAAAGTATGTGACCTATGCAGAGAAATTCGGCGATAGCTTTGTATTCCAAGGTCAGTTGTCACATGAAACTAGGAACGCTTATAGCAAGAGCCGGGTGGTGAGTGCACCTTGGTGGTATAAAATCAATGGAACCACCTGGAAACATCCGGAAGGAGTGGGATCATCGATCGATGACCGAAGGGATCATCCCGTCGTTCATGTTTCGTGGATCGATGCCAACGCTTTTTGTGAATGGAAAGAGAAACGCCTGCCAACCGAAGACGAATGGGAAGTGGCCTGTCGCGGTGACAAAAAACGTAAACTTTATCCATGGGGTAATAAACTGAATCCGGGAGATAAACACTGGTAAAGGAGCTTTTCTTTTCCCAAGAAAAAGTGTGAAATTTATTTTGAATCAAACAAATACGATCAAAATGCAGCGTAACATAACAAAACCACCAAATTTATAACAAATTTTCCCTTCAATCAGGTTAAACATTTGGCAAGGCGAATTCCCTGATGGAAACACTGCGGATGATGGTTATTTATCCACGTGCCCGGTTGATCGTTTCAAACAAAACGATTTTGATCTGTACAATATGGTAGGAAATGTGTGGGAATGGACCGAGTCAAAATGGAATGAGGATGCCGATGAAACTGATTCTGACACAGTAGAAAGAGTGAAAAAAGGCGGCTCATATCTTTGTCACAAATCATTTTGTTATCGCTATCGCTGTGCAGCACGATCATCTAATACGGCTGACAGCTCCGCTGGAAATCTGGGTTTTCGATGTGCCAAGAGCTGAAACATTCCTAACTTTTTGTTAGAAAAATCTCATGCATTGCTTAAATTGTACATCATAATTCATTCTCAAATTAGCTGAATTCATCTTCTTCTCCACTAGACCAATTTTCTTCGACTTTTTAGTTTCATTGTGATTCATTTTCAATTTGTGAACTTTGGAATTCCATTAAAAATTGTATCAATCAACTAGCAAAAAATGACATCTCTGCCAAAGTTGAAATTTTTAAAACAATTGCTTCCAACTGCGTCAAAGTTCAAATGTCCAACGTTTTTTTTTTTTTTAATAAAAGCAAAGTGTAAAATTTTCAAAGCAAAATTGAATCATTTTCAAATTCATTTTGGGTGATGGAAATGAGGTTTTTTTTACATTGATTATTGCACAGAATAAGTGAATTGTATAAAATTAGTCAAAGAAATAAACTAAGAACATTATTAAATTCGGGAAATAAATCAAATTAACAAACATTTTTCGATTTTTTCTTCGTTGTAACCAATTTTCATCAGTTGACGAATCAGTCAATAGCTGGAGAATAATTTTCGCAAAACAAAACAAATGGAATCGCAAAAGAGGCATTTTTTGGTAAGTAACGACCTTTTAAAATGAAATTCACTCGATTTGTCCTTAAACATGTCCAGAAAAAATTCCTGCAAAAATTAAATTTTCGATCAAATTCTATTAGAATAAAAATTGCATTGTCTTTTTTCACGGAATTGAAAGAGTTAAAGAAAAACCTTGAAACATCAATTCAAGTCACAAAAATGAGCGATAATAATCATCGACCAAAAAAACAGAACAAAATTCTAAAAAAATAAGACTGAGAGAGAGAAATTCCAATGAAAAGAAGTAACTTGAAAGTAATTTGGAAGTAAATCAAATTCTGAAAGCGAAAGAAAAAATTGCGCCAAAACCCTATCAAAAAATTCTCATGATTCGTCATAAATCTGCATTTACAATGAACTAGCGTGCAAACGTTCATATTTCCGTGTTCACTGTAATCGAATAAAATAGGCCTATTCTAAATGACAGTTCTACCAACTACTGAGTCATGTTGAGACGGTCGCCGTTCGGTTTGGAATTGTGTCCGCCGTGCCGATGTGTGTCGTAACGCATTCATGCCTTCAGTGCACAACAACGCAGGATAGTGTGTCTGGTCGTACGACTGAGTAGCAGCGTGTGTTAGTCTAAATACTGTTGGCGTAATGTGCACAAAACCGAGACTACCCAAAATTATGTATGTGTGTATGTGATCGTTATGATGCGGGACAGTACACACGCACACAACTAAACCAAAGAGAAGCGTAAAAAAAAATTCGATTTCGGGGCACCGCATCCATATACACATCGTTCGTCCGTTGGAAGTAAATCGCGTCGACATTTTAATTTAGCAGCAAGCACTGTGTGTTGAACATCGTCGCCAACGAAAAGGGAAGCGACAGTGAAAAGAATATCGTTTGGATACACCGAAACTAAAATCGAAACAAAAAAGTGTGACAAAGTAAAAAAAAACAGAGCTAAACGAAAAAAAATTCCATAAATTATTGTGTTGTAAAAGGTAAATTTCGATTGAACTGAATCGTTTCTAGTTTTCTCAACGGAATAAAGCGTAAATTAGTTTGATATCGGTGTGTTGTTTCTGGTGAAGCCATTAAATTGAAGGCAAATGAAAAAAAAAGGTTATTTATTCTCCGGCACTCACGAAAACTACAGCAACGAAACGAAACGAAACGAAAAAAAAGAGCGGCAGCAACGACGACGACAACAACGACGGCAGCAACGAAAATTAAGACGAACAACCGTTCGCGCATTATTTTTGTCTTGATTTGTTGCTATTTTTTTTCATTATTTTGTGGGCCCAACTCGTTCTTTCCTACAGTATATCCGTCCGAGAAATTGTAGTTGAGAGTCTCTTGGCGTGTGTGTTATTTTTTTTTTTATTTTGTGTTGTTGTTGTGTTGAGGTACGCATTATTCTTGAAAGCCGACTAGCAGTGAGAGAGCTGTACAGTCGATAGTGTACACAGTACCCAGCAGAGAGAAAATTGTTCATTTTTTTCAGTGTATTTTTCATACAACGCAAATAGTGCGACGCTCTTTAGCTCGTGTGTTGTCCTCAACTTGAAATCGGTTGTGTGTCTCTGTGTGTGCGCTTCGTGTGCGTCTGTATTTGTGTATCGATGTGAGTGTGTGCCTGTTTGAATGCCGCATTTTGTTTAATGTAACGGTGATAAATTCTCTCTTTCTCACAGTTCTATTCTCGTTGTCTGTTTTGAACAGTGATTCGTATGCAAAGCCAAACGAATGAACATTTCTGGTGGCTTAGCAATACTCACACACACACGACCATTGGGACGGTTTGTGTGCTTGTATGGTTCATTTAAAGAGCTCTCTGTGTGTAATTGAATGGAGAGTGAATTCTCATTTCATGCCTGTTCTTTTATTGTTGAGGCATTTAATAAACGTCCCGAAAAAAAATAAAAATAAAAGAAAACCTACAGCACACCCAATTATCCGGCATTTGTTCATGCATTCTGCGGCCCTCCTTCTTCTTTTGCTTCTCATTTCGTTCATACACTTATGCAGCACACATACCAGCCATCATCAAACGCGCATCGCATCAGCTCTCTCTCTCGTGTGTTTATATTTATCATCATTTTTAGTGAGAATCGTTCAACGTGCACATGCATTTTTTTTTGTGTTTCCAAGTTGTGCACGAGAAGGAAGTGAGTCGGTTGCATTTATCGAATTTTAAGTTGATGCGTGTGTTGTTTTTTTCTATTTTCTGAACGTTATTCGCCTGATGTGTGCGAGTGTTTGTTTTTAATGAAAGATTCAATCGTTTTTTTTAAAGGTTTAATTCCGTTTAATTGGTCGACACTCTTCAATTTTGCTTAAGTGGAGAAAGAATAAGTGTAAATGATAGTAAAAAAAAATTAATAAACTTCAGTCGAAACAACTCACACACACATACACACCCGATCGGCATAATTGTAAGTTATATTGTTGTTGTACAAGCTCTTTCACATACCACCATTACTATGCGACGCTCATCGATAGTTACTCTTCTGGTTTTTGTTGTTGTTGTTGCCGTTCAATCTTTCAATTTCTTTTCCATTCGAGTGCAATGATGGGAGAAAGAAAGAAACCAGAACAACAGCACCACAACGACTGGCGTGCTCGTCGGTATGCTGGGAAGTGTGTGCTAGATTGTGTGTGTGTGTGTCATTTCCATTCATATTAAGTGCATTCATGTGTACTATTTCGAGTTGTGTACTTGTCATTGCCCTTTAAAACAGCCAGATCGCGAGTGTTGATCGAAAGAGTCATGATGAAATATACAAGAACTCTCTCGTCTCAACCTGGCATTTCACTTGTGTCTGTGTGCGTGTAGCCCGTAAAATGATTGATTTGAAAAATCATAGAAAAATTTGAAATTCTAAAACGAATCATAAATTTGGTCGATATGCATTTCACCATTTCTTTCCATTATTTCGTTCGTTCAAATCGTTCGTACGTGTGCTACGGCTTATTTACACTTGAACACATTCCGTTGATTATGTTTAGCTGGCGCTGGACGGATTTAGTGTGAAGATAAGCATCGTTTCGAAATAATCGCATTGAAAATATGGAATTCCAATAGTTTACAATCGTACGAGAACAACTCTCGTTTCGATCGCGTTTTTAGTCGCCTTTTCAATACGACTCATTCGTCGAGTCAATCAATTCGATTATTAATAAGACAGCACGTTTCCAATTATATGCAAAACATTTGAATATTCAACGCGTTTTTTTTTCTTCATTTTTTTTTTCATTTCTCATATTAATGATTCAAGGCTATCGGGCGATATTTAGAATAGCAACGATATCGACTGCCATTTTTATTTTCTGCTATTGTCGTCGCCGTTGTTATTGTTCAACAAAACATAACGAGTTGAATGTGTGAGTGTGTTTGCTTTGAATGAAAGCCGACCGATACACGACACCGAAAGTGCATCATGACACACGATACCCAAACAACAAAAAATGACTACCAGATCATGTCGAAACTTATGTTTGTTTCATTTATCTCATTTCCCGCTGGCTTGCCACACTCAACTCAACACTTCTAATTGTATTCCATAACAAATACCTGCGGCGAAGATAAGAACGAACGCGAGCGACTTTTTTATTTCGTTCAGCTCAGGCAAACGGAACGTATTAAATATCATAACTTGGATTAAAAAAAAAAACACTACTACTCGAATACATGCGACAAAGACGACGAAGCATGTGTTTGTAAAATTTTGGCCGTTACAAATGCTTACGTCATAACGATGGATTCTGTTTTATTCGGTTTCGTTTGGGTGCGCATAAATCAACCCATGCTCTGTGTAATGTGTATGTGTGTGCTTTTGCACCATACACACAATTCTCAGAATAGTTGTTTATCGTCATTTTTCTATTATTGAATTTTTTTTTGCGGCCAAACACACAACACTCTGTTTGTTTGCATGTGGCAAATGGATAAGCAAACAAAAAATCTACGAATTTCGACATTTTTCGTTTCACTTCGTTTCTATTTAGACATAATTTTCACTGCGGTAGCCAAATGTTTCGCAACACTTTGCTAGTTTTTTTTAATGAATAGCATTATTTTCTCATATTTCGCCGAAATTTTTTTTTTCATTTGCGTTTAATTGTATGTTGACTTCTTCCTGATTAAGAATCTGTTTTTTTGAGATCAGCACATTTTCAGTACAAAAATTCTACTCATCTTCTTTTTCATTTGTTTTTGTTCTCGGGAATGAATACAAATTCGAGAACTACAAACGTCAGCCCATTTTCATGTCAAACGTCAGCCTCGTTTACATTCGACATTTTTGTCATTCATTTGAGTTCGTTCATGAGTTTGAATTGATCATTCGATTTTGATTCGATTAGAGATGTGACGATTAGACTGGAACTGGGTGATGTGCTTCAAATCCAGTGAATTCAATCCAGTCACTGGGTTCGATCAATATTACTGCTATTTTCATCCAATTTTAAAGATTAAATCGATCGAAATTCAGTTGAGTAGTAGAAGAATCGTTGGAGAAACTGAATTTTCAATTGTAAGTCAAAAAATGATAAAATTTCGTGAGAAATGTTGACATTTAATGAGAAAATATGGAAAAAGCGAATTCAAGTTGAAAGATTTGAAGAGAAAAATATTCAATATAAAAATACTGCAAAAATGTTCGAAAAATGCTAAGAAACGAATTGCTGTGAAAACCAAATTCCTAAGACCTAAGGATGAGAAAAAAATAAATAAGGAAAATTTAAATGAATTTACCAACAAAAAATGTGAAAAAAAAACAAAAAAATTTATCGAAAAAATGGATGAACCATTGAAAATGGCAAAAATCTGCTGGCTAAAATCAAAGTCAGTTGATATTTACAGCGTGAAAATTTCAATCAATGAATGAATCAGCCTTAATTAGCCACACACATTGCTTCAGATTTGATTTCGACTCGAGTGTGAGAGTAAATGGTCAGTGTGTCTATCTTGGTCAATAAGATTCGCGCGCCAAAATCGGTTTCAATTGAAATTGAGAGTTTGACAGTTTTGGCCGGTACGTGATGACGACACTATTTGAATTATTTCTCCCTCTCTGTTCGTTCTCTTTCTGTCTTTGTTTTTTTTTCTTTCTCTCTCTCTTTCTCTGACTCGTATTCTCCCTCGCATTCTCTATACTCCCTTCGTCACATTCATTCGCCGTAAAATCATAAATGGCACGCGCACATGCAAAATAGGAAGAATATCAATATCAAATCAGCTCAAGGTTATACTCTCTCACCACACACAACAGACAATGTGACAAATATGTGTGTAGATCAGACAGATAGAAATTTACTGATTAAATTACGTGACGAGCTGGAGATGAAGAACGTGTGAGGCAAAACCGATGTCTAATTCCGAAATAGCGCCAAATATTTGTTCGCTCATGTGTTTTGTGCGAAATTGGATTCTACCACAGCGAAGCACGCATTTGGATACGTATCGAAGCACATATCAAAAATGTCCGTTGCGATTGGTTTTGAAAATAACGTTGACAACGGAATCAACAAATTCAAAACTCAGCAGTTGGCGCATTTTTCGCGTGACACTACGTGATTGTCAACGTCACTTCGTCGACGGTTTTTTTTTAATTTCAAATAAAAGCACTGCGATTTATTCTATATTTAGGTCGATAGTTTTCTGTTGTAAGGCCCTTTTGAACATCTCTACTTTCGAATCAATGCTTTTGCCGTGTTAACTGTCTAATCATGAATATTTGCCGTCACACCGAATAAACGTTTTTTTTTCTCTCGTTCAAACCGATTTTTATTCGTCTGTGATTCATTGAAGCGGAACAATTTAAACCGAAACCATGTTCATGTCAATTACTACTTATGATTGATAAATAATTGAAAGGTTGACAAATTCAACTAAAATGTGCTCTTTTATTATAGGAAAAACATTGATAGCGTGAACGTTGCATAAGATGGAAGAAGAGAATAACAAACGTGAAACGCGTCGGTCGCGTTCGAAAACACCGTTGACATTGCGATCAAGTGTCGATCGTGATGTTGAAGTCGACGGCGAAAAGAAAAAAGTAAAAAAGAATCCAACCGTTGAGTAAGTATTTTTGGGATTTCATTTTTTTTTAGTATAGAATATCACATGGTATGCGCGGATTGAGTATTGAACCACCTCAGACATTTTGTCGATTTTCTCGAGGAATCCAGATGGCATGGACTTTGAATCACTAGACATTTAAACGATGTTCTCTTTTAGTTCCGGTGACGTTTAATTTTGATCACATTTATGTCAAGTTCAAGTAGAATTTAGATCATAATCGCTTCAGATTTCTGGGTTCATGACGAGTTTGTAGCCAGTTAAAACTCGCTTCTGATTCTGACTAAAGTCAGATTCAATGTAAACTTTAGCTAAGGTAAAGCGAGACAATTTTGAAATTAAAGAAATGATTTTGAGATACATCGAGCGAATTTTGGTATTGAACAAATGTTTTTTTCGGTAAATTGAGCCATTTCTGAGATAATTTAAGCGGATATTTTTGAATAAATGAATTTTGGAATAATTCCGACCAAAACATTTGTCACAGTAGGACGCAACTCGCCACTGACAGTTGTAGACTCTACGTATTAAAATCGTTCCATCAGTCTACTCATTGGCGGTGTTCCTTCATCTTTTCTTATTCTCATTATTCTTATGTAAAATCATTATCAAATTTCAACGTCGGCTTTAACTGTCAGTAATTTCCACTGGATTTGAACAAAAATGAATATCCAAATAGAAAATGTCATTCTCACTGGTGATGTCATTCGATGAAATATGAACTGCGATCGAATTGACTTCCGATCGATACCAGGTCGATAGTATCGACTCGAAACCAGGTTGATAGTATCGACTCGACACCAAGTCACATTGATTCTGTTTCAGGCCGCATTCGGAATTAAAAATTAAATCATGGCACGAAAAAAGTTGTCGAATTCTCGTGAAAATCTGAAAATGAAGTGAAATTGTCAAAATCCAAAATAATTCAATCGCTATTTTAGAATTGAAACCAGTGGATCTGGGCCAATTGTGACATTTTATTCTTGAAAATATTCTTTTTACCTGTTTATCTCTTTTTTTAACGAAAAATTAAGGTATGAACTTAATTTTTGTGAGAGAAAAAATAAATAAATGAAAATCACCCATCAATACTAACATCTACCTCGTTATCTCCCCATCAAAACGTAGAACAATAACTGAAGAATCGCCGGCCCCAGTTGTCACACAACGCTCCACACGCACCAAACGTAATGCGGCCAAGGCAACAAATGATGAATCGCAAACAGTTGTAAACAAAGAAACAGTTGCACTGATTGCAAATTCAGTGGCTGTTGTGCCACAGGCTATATCCGCCTCCGAACAAACAGTGACCAAAACTACAACGGTCATCACATCAAAATCCGTGAAATCCCTCACTGGCGAACAGTTACTGAATGAAAAGCAACAGCATCAAACGCAAACGATGACCAAATCATCTGCAGCCACAACCCGCTCCCGTGAAGCCAATCAAAACGAGTCAAATTTGTTGCTGGAACAGAATGCCAAATTGAAGACAAGCACTCCACGTGCCAACAAAGACAAAGATGCCAGCAACAACAGCAACAATAGCAGTTTCAACAACAGCAGCAGCATTACGAACGGCACAAATTTAGAGGATCATGTGGCATTCAAGGAGTACAAAGAGGCCGGCGAATATTGGAATAAATTCCCAAAAACCGATTACACATATTCAAAACTGTCACAGCATCGCCGTGAAATCAAACCGGGCGTGATTGCGATGCCAAATATGTCGCGTCGCAGTCTGGAGCATCATCAAACGCGTGTAAACGATATGGTTCGTCGTGATCCAGCCCAAGAGTCATTCTTTCGCAGTCGCTACGAGGCATTGACAACACTGCGAAAACGTCGCGCTGCCGACAGTTACTACGATTCACAGGACGAAACGGACATTTCATTTGGATTGAATGGCGGACGATCATACACCGAATCACGTTCGTTCTTCAGCCGCTTGATCACCGTCATCACGACATTCTTCTCGTCGACCTACTATCACGTGACCAGTATTTTCCGACGCGAACAACCGCCATCCATTTACTATGCTCGTTTTGCTGAACCGAAGAAGGGTGAGTGCAGTGTAAATTGGAAGTCAGTGATTGAATCGGATCATTTTGGCTTGACTTTCCTATGTTTTTTCTTTACCGATTCGTTGCCCTACGTTCCTTTTTCTCGATTCAATGGAGAAATGTTAACGGAATTTTTATTTTCAAATAGGCATCATTCGACGAAGCTGGTATAGCATCACAAACGCCTTTTTGGCCGTGTTCCGCTACATCTATTTGGGCATTTCAACGGTGCTGTACCTCGATTCACGGGCCTTACAATCAACATCACAAGGCAAAAAGAAGGGATTCCTCATCGGTCTGCTTGTTCTGCTGCCACTTCTCCTCTTGGGCGGTAAGTTGAACACATATTCAAACCTTTTTGTCCATCATTTAACGACACCATTTTTGCGGCCATTCAATTTTCTCTCAATTTTTTTTTCTTAATTTTTTCATGAAAATTAACACAAAATGGAAAATTTCCAAATTTTCTTTTTCTTGTCTAATTTGAGAGCATTTTTTGCATCATCCACGTTTCACATTTTAATACCATTTTTACTGATCATTGTCGTTTTTTTTTT